AATAATTCAAATTCAAATTCAAATTCAAAATATCTTTATTCATGTAGGTCTATTACAGACTCTTATGATATGTCAAATCTACCGTCAGTTGATGGAATGATTTCGAGATGAGAAGAACTGACAAGAAACTCAGCTCGTATTTTTTTTTAATGTTGTACATATTTATAATAATACTATTTCAATTAAAATCAAATTTGGGAGACCACAAGCATATGCTATATAAAAAAAAAATCAAAAAAATCAAAAAATCTAATCATCGCAACCTAAGTATGAGCCAGCCATCATTGCACTCAAATTGGCCCACCACGCCGCCACAAGTCTGGACATTTTAGTGAGCATGACTACTCAAAACACTAGACCACGTCATTTATATTATTTACAGCATAGGCTGTAACAATCACAGTTTTCACCCATTACAATATTTAAATTACAATATGTCAATAAATAATAGTTTCTTTAGTGTTTATTACAATCTATGTCAATGAGAAAGTTATATATATAACAAATGTAAAATAATTAAGTTCAAAGTTAAAATAAGTAAGTAATTAAGATACATTTATTTTTAAGTCGTTTATTTTAAAAAACATTCAAACATTTTCTTTTTATAATATTAGTAAAGTCTAGCATTCCATCTCAGCACTGTAAATATATGCCTAATTTCATTGACAATGATTAAGCAGTCAAGAAGTGAAAACGAAATGAGCATACTTACTTTTGCATTGTCACGTTACGTACAGGCATAAGAAAAAATAAAAAGGATAAATGGTAGCATCTCCAGAACTACCGTGAAAAGCATCTTAGTCCTTGGGCGAAGTGAAGGACAGATTTCCTAATGTTCAGACTATTTTAATAGAATGCCATGTTGAATAACAAATAATATAAATTTATAATTTATATAAGCCCACAGAGTGTCGCACAGACGCTCGTTATTTTTTTCTAGCTCGAACATTCGTTGGAATCGATGAGATTTTGAATTTATATATATTATCAAAAGCTCTTCTCTTTAGCTTAGGATATACATATAAGTTCAAATGAACTATTATTTTTAGTAATATTTCGTATATAGTGTGTAGGCTCTATTATTATGTGGGATGAATATAATATAATTATAACAAATTAGAAATACATACTCGTATTTCTAATTTGTTTCTAATTATAGGCAAAAGAAAACTAGTAATTGGAAGGAAAATAGTTTATATTTTAGAATGGGTTCAATGTTCTAAAAATAAAATTACTTTAAGACTTCATTATAAATTTAGACCAATTGTCACTATGTATAATCCGCCTACAAAAGTTATACATATAGTATGACAAATTTAGGCTAAAATAATCTTGACTATTAGTCCTACAGAACCTTAAATGAAAAAAAAAACAATTGAGATACTAGATATTATTGAAATCATTGATGAATATACAAATATTAAAAAAAAAAACAGAACAAAAAATAGAATTGTTTCTTTACTAAAACAATAACAATAAATATGTTCCCGGAGATTTAGTAAAAGTAATTTTGTATAAGAGGATAAAAACAGAAGTAATGTATTATCTAAATCACACCAATTTCATAAGAATTTCCTCCAAAGTATGATATGAATTATTATAGGACAAAAACTTGAGGCTTAATTATATTTCGTTTAGAATTCTCATTTGAAATAGAGTGAAATCTACAATTATGAACGGATCCTTTTATACTTACAATTGCGAACCGTACAATTTAGTTTCCATCGGCTACTCGTATCCATAGAATACCTATAGATTTTAATCTAGGTATATTTAATTTAATATAAATTTAGTCCCTCTTATGTATAATTATATACTGTTTTAAATTTGATGCGGTCATTATTTATACGAATAATCAAGAAAAATAACAGGGCCTTATCACGGTTTCTTTATTTTTATTGTATTCCCGATATTTCGGCAGTGCTTCAACCGCCATGATCACGTGTAAACTGAAGAGCGTGTAATATTTGTCTACCTTTACACGTCTTCGCTTTTTGTATAATTGTTGTAGTTTCAGATATTTACATAAGTAAACTCATAGAATTCTGCGATAGGTCATCTCAAAGGTCAGTCATACGGTATATATACATGAATTACCTATTAAATATTCTTTTTCATACAACGTGCTGATAACATGTTGTTATCTTTGATATTTGTGTAGGTAAGTAACAATATAATAATAATATCCCTGGACCATTCACATAGCGGCGTATAATCCCAAGCTAAGCAGAGCTTGTGTTATGGGTATTACACTACTGATATAAATACTTTTTTTTTTTTTTGTAAATACCTACATAAGATACATAGAATACACCCAAACCGATACAAGCAATCGTACTCATGAATACAAATGGTACCGTGCAAGGAATCGAACTCGCGACCATCCGAAGTAAAGCGGTATGCTAAACCGATAGACCACCGAGACCGTCAAATATAAGTAAAAAACTTTAAGTATGGAGGTACATATCGGATGTTTAGGTATCTACAATACCTAAACATCACAACTGTAATATTACACAAATAGTATCATTTTTATTACTTAATTTCAATAGCGTTATATGGATCCAAATTAGCTGAATAAACATTGGCCCCAACATAAGTGTATCTAACATAGGAAATGAAAATATCACTAAATTAGTATTTGCCGTCTCGTTATAACAACCACTTACAATAGTGGTATGAAAGAGATAGCATATCCGCTGTTAATGTGGACGAGAGGCCGTTTCTGCAGCTGTAAAAATATAACAGTTCTATATTATTTAGTTTGCTTAAGGATGAGGTAGTGATGCCAGATTGAAGGTTTTCTGTCTAATTTTTGGGGGGATTTTGAGGCGATGAGTTAGTAATTAGGGGAACAATTATGTGGTGGGGACAATATGACAGATAGAGGAATACTCTGATATACTAAAAAAATATTAGAATCACGATTCTAGAAAAATATTAAAAAAACCAATACTAATGTTTTAAGAATAACAAACAAGAACAAGCATATTTTATTTTCGTAAACAGTTTATTTTTTAATGGATGATAATGGAATGGTGCACCCGCCTGCGCTAAAGTGGAGGATGATAATATGAGCATGAGATCTAGCCAGTTAGCCCATCATCAAATTCACCAGTAATTTATCACGATGGTTTTCAGAGGGAACCGCGTGGAAGTCAACCTGACAAGGTACATTGCTAGCAATGAGATCATCAGTCCACATTACAAACAATCCCCTTTCCCCCCTCGTAAAAAGTTAATACTAACATATACTTTATAATTGAGGGCGATTTACTTCATAAGCTTAATTTTGTGTGGATTTTAGCTTAACTTTGGGGGAAAATAAGAGGATGATCTGGCAACACTGGCACGAGGTACCGTACTCACAAATCGAATGGACTGCCTCCTACACATTTCTCATGGATTTACGTGAGGTCTTTACAGCAGCGAACGTTACACTTTATCTCAGCCATTTATCTCGTACAGATATTGAATTGCTGAATCATTCAAAATCTAGCACATATTTCTCTTCGATTGTTTAAATATATTCTTTTTTAAATTGATATAAGGCAAGAAAGAAAATATAATTTGTTTGACTTGTTTAACACATTGTTTATCAAGGAAGACTGGGTAAAGTAGTCTGTGTCTGCGTTAGGCCTCTATTTTATGACCTCTTTTTTGTGTTGAAGTCACCTATGATAACATAACGTGCGTGCTGCGCCATAATATTCTCGAAAATAGACTCAACGTCGTAGAAGTAGTCAGTGGAAGGAGGACAATAAACAGCCAGAACAATCTTACTTCCCTTAACATGAACCGCCATGCATAAATATTCAGTTCCACCGAACGTGGTAGAGGTAGCTAAAGTTTTATAAGAGATACCACTCTGTAAGTGGCTTAGCTTTATTTTAGCTACCACGCATACATTTTGTTTCGGTAAAATACTGAGATAAGGTAGTGAACTTACAGGATTTGGAGGTCCTACGGAATAACAACTAATGAGTGGCATCACGGGCGTATCTTGATAACGTAATATTTATAGTGTTGCTTTTGAGAACATATATATATATAGGCGATAACTGGGTAGTGGGCCATCAGCTTCTTTGCTATTTACATTACATAGGTATATCAAAAAAACCATTTTTTTAATAGCAGCATATTCTACTTATAAGACTTTTTATGTACTTACATTTACATACTTGCTTCTTGTGATCATTGATATAGAAAATATAAATTTTATTATTAACCACAAATTATATTCACTGATGATTTTTTTATATAAATTATATATTAAATATTTTCTTCTCATGTTGATAGCGTGCCGTATTTTGATTCTTTTAGTATATTTTATGTGGGCAATAATAATATTAATGTATCTTCCTACAGATATTTACTGAAGGAAATTGTCAAAAGGAAACAAATCTGTACAAATTATAAAGACAGAATTATAACAGATTAAGTATAAATTTAGAGTGTAAAGCGCATATAATTTCGAGATCAGTTCTGCAATATATTATATATATTAAATTATATTACTGTAGTATTGTATAATAGCGATATGTATATTCCAATATTTATTCATATACGATACTTTTTAAGCGACTACAAAAAGGTAAGAGTAAGTAAATTCGGCTATTTCTTTATTTGATATTTTGTAAATCTGTGATTTATAAACTTGAAAATATTTGTTTTTTTTTATATTGAATGAGTAATTTTTCCCATACTTTACTTCACATTTGTCTCTTTTATTTTAAGTTTAAGAAGTCGGTTTTTAAGTGAATTGTTATTTCTAAAGTAATTTATTTATATACAAAACTTTTTGCCACTTGTACTACATTAAAATGTTTATATATCTATCCTTACCATCCATTTCGGATAGTTGCCTATTTTAGTTGAACACAACTGTCATTCTTGATTTCTTCACTTTGTTTTTTCGCATTAACAAGGCGTTATTGGAGGTTATAGGAATAAAATATATTATTTAATAATTAATATATTTATATCATCAGTTATATGCTCTATATAGTTCGTGCGTTTATTTCTATGTTTATGTAATTTATTAATATATTTCCAATTGTATCTACTTGAATGTAAGCTTTTTCTTTTTATTTATGAAGTAATTTTAGTGTACGTTGTGTTTTTATCTATTTTTAATTGTCATTTTTGTATTAAATAGGCAAGATAATTTAATTTCTCCTATGATGCGAGTTTTGACTTCAACAATTCGCTCAGTTGCAACAAGCCTGGCTCGTTGCCTTTTTTGTAGAAATCTTCACCAGAGAAGCGATCCAGCCACGCCTGTAGATTAGGGTACCTGCAATAAAAATTTACTATATAGTAACATAAATAGATACTAGTCAGCATTTGCATTGCTAGCGTTCTCGTGTTTTTTATTTTATGGATGATATAGTAATGGTTGCACCTGCCTGCGCTAACGGTTGACGCCGGCGAGGTATCAGTGGAGAATGATAAAATGTATATGAAGTTAAGTCAGTTAGCCCATCTTGGTAAATGAGAATTTTCCACGGAGAACCGCTTGGAAATCAACCTGACACGGTTGGCTGGGGTTATTAGTCCACATTACTAAAAGTCCCCGTCCCTCCAGTTTTTTCGGTTAAGTCAAGGGTCAGTGAAATTATTGTGTACCGAGATATAATTCCTCAGGAATAGCAATGAAAAATGTCTGTAATCTGTCATATTATAACAATACTCAAAGTATTGTTACAGTATGACAGATTACTTCCAATAACTTGCTTTTTCGGCTAAGAAACAGATGATGAAAAAGTCAGTCAGTCACGACCCTCACTTAAAAACTTTTTTCGCAATATATATAAAAATATAAAAAAGGTACTCAGTAACAGTAACTCTGTGTCGTCAATTTCGATAGCCAACCAGCAAAAGCTACTTTGTAAACTGTGTTTCGGTAGAAAGGTGAGATATGGCAGTGAAATTACACGATATGAAACTAGACGTTGTAGTCTTGTGGAATGGCAACTTATGAGTGGGACTACAAGCGTCGTGACGACCTGGTGTTCCTAGTGCTGTTCACGTATATAGGCGACGGTTGTCACTTTTCATCAAGTAGGCAGTTAGATAGATTATGCTTTATTCGCAATATACAGTGATAAATATATAGAGCCGCACTCTTGACGACGAAGTTCTTTCTATTTTTCACGATTTTCAATAAATATCTTTATTTTCCTTGTTCTATTATTCCTTGATCAACTTAATATAGCTGAGTCTTGCTCTTCCCTTCCTCTCTTTCTTTCTATTTTTCCTTCGGTAATATTATTCATAACGTAGTCGTATCGTAATCATGTGCCCCAACATTTTTCCCGCCTTTTCCCAATAATATATATGACTTGTCTCTTTTCTTTAACCTTTTGCAGTACTTCCGCATTTTTTAATTTATTTTTCCATCCTTATCCAACACCACATTCAAAAGATTCCTTTTTTGTCCCTTTCCTTTTCAATCAATGTCCACGTCTCACAATCATACAAAAGCTATACTCAAAATGGAGATAAAAGATAAGTACTATAAATTAGTAAACTAAACATATATGTATAAATACAACAAACCTGCCATCGGTTCACATAACTCGACTCACTAATATAATACACTAAATCAACTTACAGATTCCTGTCAATCGGTATGATTTCATTCAAAGTACTGATGCTGGAAACGCAACAAATATCAGCTATTGTAATTTCGTTCCCAGCTATCCACTGCGAGTTGAAGAATTTTTCTATAAGCGCATAGGCCGAGTTTATTTTCTTAACATCTTCCTCTTTGACGTTCTTGTTGCCAAAGAAAAGTATGGGCTCCTGAAATAGAATGATATCTTTATATTATATGACTATATATTATATCTTCACGACTTTTATCCCCGGTAGTGTAGTCAAAGGTATATTTTTTAAAGAGATAATAATGGAATGGTGCATTCGTCTGCGCTAACGGTATACGCTGGCAGCGCACCAGTGGAGGATAAGTATGAGGTCAGGATAGTTAGCGCATCATGGAATTTAGAAACAAGATGGTTTCCAGGAGGAACCGCGTAGAGGTTAACCTGACATAATACATTCCTAGCAATGGGGTTATTAATCCACATTCATAACAATCCCCTTCACCCGTAGTATATATAACTATTGAATTTATGCTGAATGAACATTTGACAGGTTCACTTTTAGCTGGTTTTATTTGAAACCAATTCAGGCGAGTCTATAACCATATTTGTTAAGAAATATTTGATAAAATGTTTTTACCGGGTCTAGTCCATACCTAAAAATCAATATTCAATTATTACTAAATAATAATAAATCAATAATAGCATAATAGCCTTCTGGTTCCAAACTTTACAGAGGTACTATGAATACTAGTCAAATAGAAATATTTTATATTTTTGTAAATACATTACACGTAAAAAACTCATACCATACACAACCATATAATAAATATTTGTATCATGCGAGAATCGAACCCGTTACCATTGTAAGTAAAGTGCTGTGTTAAAACTGTAGATCGTCATCAACACAAGAATAAATATTTTTTTTATTCCCCACTACCTCTATATCATTTCATAGTATAAAACAAAGTCTCTGCCGCTGTCTGTCCCTATGTATGCTTAAATCTTTAAAACCACGCAACGGATTTTTAATAATTTACTCACCAAAGTACCACGGATCGTCGGGAATAATATGCCGCTATCGAAATGCAATCTCTGTTCGATAATCGCTCTCTTCTTCAGATCCGTCGGGTAAAAAGAATCATCTTTGCCGTACTTCGTAGCTAAATATCCGCAGATAGCGTGACTTGTTGATATTGAAATAAAAAATAAATTAGTGTTTTAATACCATACTATTAATACGATGTGAGATAAAATACTGGCATGTAAGTATTTTTATATTCATAACAAGAGGAGAAAATAAAAATAATATTACATTTTTAATTTTCAACTATCAAATACTATATTTTTTTTATTTGATCTGGAACTATGTTTTCCTACGGTATAAGCTATTCAGATATTGTTAATTCTTGTTTCTGTATTAATTATAATTAATTTTATTGTGTAACGAAATCCTTAATGCTTTTTATATTATTTTTAAATTTCATAGTATATGTTTTTGTGATATACTTTTTGTAGCATATATCGCTGTGGTTAAATGTTTTATTGATCATTTTTTATTATGATTTCAATATTTTATTAAAATATGTATTACCTGTCCCAAACTATGAAGTCATCGTCTTTCAATGTTGGAATAGTGTGTTGAGGATTAATCTAGAAAAAATAATTTAATTTTGTAATAAATAATATAACATAATTTAATTATATATATAATTAAATATAACTGAAAGATTATAATTCTTTTAATTTTATTATAACACCAATGGAATATTGCACATAAAATAAAATCACGGTAAATATTCCGGTTACGTGCATATAATGTGCACAACGATACAGAAGACTGTTTTAAAAATATAAATAAAAAAAATAATAAAAAAATCATCAGAAACTAATCTTTACATCTTTTCAGATGTATGGAATTTATTTAAATTTGACATCAAAATAAGTTATATCACAAATACGTACGTAGATGTTTTATCGCAAAATCTAATCTTTACATAGTGTATGGTTAAGTGTAGTGTAAAAGATATCAAGTGAATATCACTTGATATCTTTTAAATTACCCAATGGATTTTAACGCAGTTTCAGTAATAGATAGAGTGATTCAAGAGGACAGTCTATATGTATAATACAGTGTTATATAGTTAGAATAAAATAATATGAAATAGTTGTTAGAACGATTTGTAATGCATCCGTGCGAAGCCGGGACCGTTTGCTAGTATTATATATAGCTGTACCGGATCCGTTAATTGTATGGTTCTCTAAAAGATGAAAACATATAGCTTATAATAATAAAATATATTGATATGCAGCTCCGAACTATGGAAAGGCAATGATTGAAATGTATCAAATAACATGACGTATAAAGAAATCTGTTTTAAAAATATAAATAAAAAAAATAATAAAAAATATCAAAAGAGTTTGCGGCTGTCGGTCAGCAACGATAGCAATATCCTCTCTACTTGTTTCTGTTATCTTTTCAAGGATAAACAGCAGTATGGAATTTAATTAAATTTGACATCAAAATAAGTTATATCACAAATACGTACGTAGATCTTTTATCGCAAAAAGAAGTGACGTAGTTGCAGAATTTACCTAGTATAGATATAAATTAAGTTATAATCAAAGAGATCATGTATTTACTATATCTTCTATATGTCGTCGGAACTAACATAGTAACTAATGCATGTGACATATTGTAGTTAACTAGTTTATGGATCGCATGAGAGAGATATAATCATATCATTGTAACGAGGTCCTAACAAACTGAGCTTAACACAGGGCGCCTCGGACCCATACTAATGTTGTCAAGGAGGGTTATTTTTTTAATATATTTAATTATTGCTTTGACGGCAGCGATGTTTTAAAAATATTTTTCCTCCAAAGACATATTGTTCGTACATATCGACAAAATTGTTAATAATATGTTCTTACATTCTTGTCTAAGAGTGAGGTCACCAGTTACGGGCTGTACCAGGATTATATTTATGTATTTATTAAATAAAATTGCAGAACAAACATTTATATATTTTAATTTTTAAGGCGACAACAGATTGACAACAATCAGTTGCAGCTTCGCATGCACGCAGCTTATACAAATAACGATTCTTTAGAAATGACATTTCTCCTATACAACCTTGCATCTCCACTTTCAACCCCATTTTTCGCATTAAAAATGCCTACGTCCTTTCTCGGGGTCTAGACTATATGAATATTAGATCTGTGTACCAAATTTCATTTAAACCGGTTTAGTAGTTTTGGCGTGAAAGCGAGACAGATAGAGAGTGTGAGAAGTGAGAAGACAGAGTTACTTTCGCATTTATAATATTAGTATGTAATGTTATAAATGCGTATTATTATCTGTGATATTAGTATAAGAATTACGGATAGAAATGTATTTTGTTACAGAAGCTAAAAAGAATAGAATGATTAAGCTTATTAAAATAAATTATTTATAAAAGGAAATATGAGCAAGCAAGCAATAAATATATAGTTTTTTTTTATTAATTATATTTGCAATATAAATGCCGTAAAATTTTAAGTCTGATATATGTACTTTTACTTTCGTATGTGTGTGAATTGAAATTATATATAAATAAATATACAGTCTCGTTATAGAAATACTTAAATAGTAAACTATCATCACAGACTATAATCATAGTGGTGATGACATATCCGTGTCTCGTTTTATTTATTTAAATCCAATTTGCTATATATCTTGTAATGTATCTTGAATTAATTTAGTTTCCGTCAACGGAGAGTAATTTAGAAGTATATAATAAATTAACACAAGTTTTTTAATGGCGACCAGATTCAAACTCACGACTGTCTGGGTCTGTAGTGAATTACTAAACGACGACTAATGTTGGTACAGTCCGAAATGCATTTTTTTATATAAATATAACGTTTGTATTTCTTTCTATCCATATTTAAGTACTTATCAATATGGCTAATATTTGTTTATATCTAATCTAATGATAATGTATTATAATCCCACTATCTATAGAGTTAAAGTTTGTGTGTCTGTTTGTTTGGGGCAATCTCCGGTTCTGCTGATCCGATTTTAAAAATTCTTTCACTGTTAGATAGGTATATATCCTTAAATGCTACAGGCTATATAACATCATCATCATCATCAGCCCACTGCAGTCCACTGCTGGACATAGGCCTCTCCCAAGGCACGCTACTGGGCACGATCTTCAGCCCTTCTCTTCCAGTTTTTACCCGCAACCCTACGCATATCGTCACTCCACCTAGCTGCGGGTCGTCATACACTACATTTGCCAATTCGCGGTATCCACTCTAGAATACGCCTACTCCAACGAGTATCGGTTCTGCGACAGATATGACCAGCCCACTGCCACTTCAACTTGCAAATACGAAGGGCTATGTCGGTAACCTTAGTTCTCTATTATATAACATCACGCTACGACTAATAGGAGCATAGCAGCAATAATAAATGTGTCAAAAAAAAATAATTTTCAGTGCTCCCGTTGCGTAACAGGTTAAGTTACGCCAATAACATGTATTAAATAATTGTTCTCCTTTAAATGTGTGTCTATCTTTTAAGGTAACTCACTATAGTCTTTAATATGGTAATAAAATTTCTTTTAAAATAATGCATCAAACATTTGCGAAGGTGTATTTATGAACATATTAACACTTATACAAATAAATTGGGCCCGTGCGAAGCCGGAGCGGATTCCTAGTTAAATATTAAAGTATAAATTGTACCTGTAGAAACTGTTCAGTGAGATGCTCTCCTTTAAATAAATTGGTATCCACGTACTGTACATCGGGGATATTCAGTATTTCAATGGTCATATATACGGCGCGGACTGGCGGGCTAGCGTCCAATTTGTATAGAGTCAACACCATTTTTAATTATTTCTGAAATTAAAAAAAAAGGTATTTTTATCTATCGAACTAAATTTTTTTTTTTTTTATATTATTAATTTTCTTATATTTTTATAAATCCACATCGCCATCTGGACCTAAACTAAGCAGAGCTTGTATTATGGATACTAAACAAAAGACAAAAATGATAAAACAAAAAGTTTGACTATGGATACTAAACAACTGACTGAAATAGATTTTTATGTAAATACATAGGTATATATGCATAGATAATACCTGGGTATTATCTATGCATATATTTTGATGTTTGCTTGTCCTAATTATAATCGTACAAAAGTTTATATGATGCAAAAATCGTATAAGCAAACATCAAAATTAAATCGACCATAAAACTACCAAGCTAGTCGAGATAAATAAATATAAATACTTACATGTTAAAATTCGTGCCAACAAACTATATCGTTGATAACTTTCTTGCGACTGACTCGATGCGATAAAAAGCTGGTCGCCGACTTTCACTTATCGCAATACAAACATATCACTATATACATTACATTATAAGATTAAATATTTGTGCAGTAAGGCATAAATTTGCTTGTCAAATACTGGTCAACTACATAATTGCAGTTCATATGGATGTGGTATGTTGATTTTGTCCTCATAAATGCATAATAATATGCAAAAGTAACTCTCTCTATATGCTGTATTTATGCACCTAACCTAAAAAATAATTTTAATAGGTTTCGGTATAGCGATAGATAAGACCTTAGCGAAGGATATGGGCTACTTTCTGCAGCGATAATAAAATTAGAAATTGTTGAAATATGGTTTTAAGGACTGGTTCTTTACGTTATATACAGATACTAAGATAGTACAGTAAGATATATAAGAAATATGATAGTCGTTGATGGTTAAAGACCATTTTGAAGGTGACAATTACATAACAAAAAATATTGTATATGATATATATAAAAAAATGCAGTAATACTAAAAAGAGGTGCTTTATGCACATAGGGAAAATTTGCATGAGCCACCAATCCGTTCCCTAGGTATATAAATAAAAAATGGAGTACTGGAAGTATATTATTTCTTACAATCTTTGAGTTCTTTAAACTAAACTGCGGGTGAAACTTGAGCATGGCACTCCTAAAGCGCTGAATCGAATATGATAATTTTTGGTACAAAGATAGATGGGACCCTGGGGACAATTATTTTACTTTTTCTCTTAAAAAACTTATGAGATGTGGGGTGAGAGAAGATGTGATTTTTATGTGAAATTTTTATTGCATCGTTCTATTTGATTCATTATTTGCACATATTTTTTTTAAAAGTAGTGTGTCTATTTTTTACAAATGGGGGGGGGGGGGGTAAAATTATGTTTTTTATGGGTACGTGTATGAAAAATGTAAAATGACGTTGTAAAGTTCATATAGAGGGAAATAGATAGGTAGGTAGACAATTCATTCCCTAAAATACGGCCTAGCGCAGTGACTGCCTCATCCCTCATACTCGTGAACGAGAGCTGCTTGTAAGGACTGGTCTGCTTAATCATTATGACCAATTTACTTTTACTTAGTTACTCAACTAGTTGGTTGTCTATTTAATATTTTGACTATAATGAACTATTTGGTATTTTGTATTCTCACATTTCAACTTAAAAATGTCAAGTACAACTATTATTTAAAAGAGCAACACGCAATTTTATTATTTGTTTTTCTTTTTGTGATGAAACAGCTTTCCGAATGAGCGGTAGAATTAAATAATAATAAGGACTATTCAAAAGTTAAATTTATTTGAATAAAGAATCTTCTATTCTTTTCTATTCTATACAAATTCAATATTACCACGAGCGAAGCCGCATGCTAACATGCCTATATAAGCAACATTCGTCGATTATTGTTTCCATATGATAAATGTGAATTTCCATTTGACACAATAATAGCAGGATAAGTAATAGTAAATGTCATTCACGACAATAGGCGTTTAACGTTTGGTAGGCCATTAGTTCTGTAAATGATTTCATACTTCATGACAGTAATAGATGATGATTTTCATGACCCCTGTGGCGCAGTAGTTGACGAGCTTCCTTATGTGAATAGGGGTTTAGGTTGTATTCTTGTTCGAGTTTACTTTTTGCAAATTTTGTTTGAAACTAGGTGTAACGGATCGGTGCATTGTGGTATGGTTGTCTAAATAATGATAATACGAGGATTATGATAGTAAATACATATTTAATATATGCAGCTGCGAACCAGATTACAGACAATCTCATAATAAATGAGATATATCAAATGACATGACATCTAAAAGAACAGCTCTAAAAATGTAAATTTATAAATATCACAAAACCGTTAGCGGCGGTTGGTCGCTAACTCTAGGCCTAAAAATTGGGCAGGATTTTTAAGCTAGTATTTAATAATAATAATGTATGTATTAGTATATAAATTGTATTATATATAATATATGCAAGTGGTATATGTAAATTATGATTATTTAGTATTATTATGCTTACTATGTCTTTTTTATTTCTCTAGTCCATTCTTGCGCCATCAACCACTTTCTGTCTTCTCTCCTCTACCCAAAGGTTGTCTGGAAGAGATAGCTTAAGGGGGTCTTCCTATGTGATGGGTTGAAAAAATCGATTTTTTTTTTTTTTCATAAATTGCTCCCTTAACATGTCTAGAATACGGTAGTAAAGCGATTTTAGAAAATTCGAAGTCGTTTTAAAGATACAGCAGGTAAAAGAAAGAGCTGTTCGAGCGGTGAGTTGGAGTTGCCAAGTATTGTGACCGTCGGCTTTGATGACCTGGCCTACCTTTTATTAATATATTTGTTTATACAAGTTTAGATACGTTTCTAATTTCTATTGTTATAATATTTTACCGAAGTTATTTATATAAGAGAGCAACAGCTACAAATTATTTTTTTTCATAATGAGTGGACGGAAAGGAAGTACGAGTGGAAATGTTCATCCTGGTCGTAGTCAAAAACGAAAGTTTAGTGGAAACCATTTTACCCACCTCTATGATACGGTATTTATTCAGCTTGCCAAAAAATTAAAAATAACATTTAGTGAATGTTATTCGAATCGCATATTGCATTTTGGATGTTTCTGTATTTTATTTCAAATGTCTAGTCAAAAATCCATATATTTTTTTTTATATTCATTTGATTATAGGTCATTCCGTGATAATACAAATTAAAACGCCGTTTTTTTTTTTTTTTCAGATAAGCCGATCAGCCGGAATCGTGTGAGATAGATGGTGAGCTCTTTTTTTCGAGGCGGGGGTGTTCAGAATATATAATCTAGTTTGACTGAATATTTTTAGCTGAAATTTTATATTTATACTGTCCAAATATGTGTTAATAAATGATAAAAAACTTGAAGCTCTAAATATTTACTGGTCGTAGAAAAAAAATCCTAAAATATCCCTAAAAAACAGGCCGTCACATAGGAAGACCCCCTTAAGCGATAAGACCGCCTTTTGTACCTTATTACTTATTATTTGTTTGTTCTTTGTTTAATTGTTTGTCTTTCTGGTGCAATAAAGTGTTAATAAATAAAATATAAAATAAATAAATAATTTATGTTGTAAGATAGACTTTGTAAAAAGTCGTCTGTGTCGTTATTTTTTTTTTATTACTAAGTTATTTCCGTCTACTTACTTCAGCTGCCAAGTACTTTTTTAAGCTGTTACAGGTTGAAGGGTGATGTGACTAGAGCGGGAACATTACAACTATTTAATAAAAAACTGTAATAATTGTATAGGAGTGTATGATAAACAAGAGGGCTTACAAAAAAGTCAAAAGAGGCATTTAAAAATATGAAAGATTAACAAATATATATACATTCATGTATTCATCCATAGACACAAACTTTCTTCAGCAATTCGTGCCAATTTCATTGTAAAAGAACGTGAAATTCAAACCGTCAAATTGATCCGACTTATCGGATCGGCCTCCAAAAAAATGTCGTCGCTAAGTACCTCAAATTTCACGTTCAGTACATTATTAAAATACTGTTTCCTTGCCCTCTATTACGAAATTTTTGAAACTTCAGATTTTCTAAGTTTCCCAAACATAGCGTTTTAACGAAACAACTTTTGTTAGTGATAGCTACTAGACGCTAGATGGCATAAAATGATTTAATATAATCTAGTTTTGCTATTAGATCACAGATGGCAGTACAGTGCAATTTGAAGTGCATATATTTTTTATGGATAAATATGGCGAGATGCACTCGCATTGTTACGATATATGAGTGTCAGTGGAAGATAATGACGAGAATGGAAATTCAGCAGGTTTTTCAGGTTTTCATTTGGGTTTCAGACCGTATGGCGGTACCTCAAGTACATTGTGAGAACTATATTTATGTCTTATTATCCTATATGGATGTGAAATTTGATAAATTCTCACGTTAGATTACACCGGATAAGAACATTTAATATATAAATAAAATTAAGAACTGGAAATGATTTATTTTTATGGTGAAAGTGACGATTCAGTGTAATTCTATAATCTAAGGAAAGACATTCAAGATTAATGTTGTTCAACATTGTCGTTTAGCCTGGAAACCATAAAAGTAAATACTTTATGAATTTACATGGTATTATTGAATTGACTCAATTAATTTATTCTCGTTTGGGTAATAAACAATTATAGGAGGGAAAGGGGGGATGTAGAACTCTCGACCCCGTTGCTAGTAATATACCATGTCAGGTTGACCTCCACGCGGTTCCCCCTGGAAACCATCGTGATAAATTCATCTGGACTGACCTGACCTCATTCTCATCTTATCATCCTCCACTGGTGCCCCGCCAGCGTAAACCGTTAGCGCAGGCGGGTGCACCATTTCATTATCATATACAAAAAAAAATAAACAATTATAATTCTATTATTATATGTATGCATTTTGAATACTTTATATAATTATCACCCGTACTATATTTTTTGAAAATCAATTTGAATAAAACAATTTCAAGTGAAGCTATTACAATTTATTAGTAAAATTGTTGTATAATATGTAGTAAAATTATTTATGACTGGAAAAATGTATTTAATGGTAAGATGGTAGAGAGAAGAGTGACATAATATAATTTTGTTTTAATAATTTTGATTAGAGAATACAAGAGAATTTTAAATATATCAAAAGAGTTTCTCAACAAAAATACGCACCTAAATCTATTAATTCTGTCTGTTTCTAACAGACAAAAATTTGTTTTCCATTACGTTAAGAGTGTCAAATCAATTGTTCCTCTCATAAATATTTCATATACAGATAGTGATCAGTAACATTTTTTTATATGTATATAGTGGCATTAGAAAGCCTTAAATAAAATATAAATGTAAGTGGCTAATAAAAATATCTATATATTCTAAATTTGTATTTATGCGAGATATATTCCTGTACTATGTTATATGATAGTCCTTCGGTATCTCCGTTTCATGAGTATTTTTCTTTCACCTATATAAATATAAAAAAATC